GCAAATACAACGGTTTAATAAAACGTTTCCTTATTTCCACTCACGTAAATCATAGTTTTTTTGTAAAATCTTGAGGAAAACAAGGTATGCTGAAAACGTTTAGCGTAACAGTACTGAAAAAGAAGTTAGACATCTAGAAAATGAGTTGCTCATCATTCTTCTTCTGGTTTTCCCGTAAAAATGTACCATTAATACCCTTTCAACACCGTAGAAATATATCCAAACTACACAATAACACTGTTGCTCCTTAAGTCAAAACTAGAAAATATATCAGATCGTCTGGATACCATCCTGTGTGTTTCAGAAACCTGCAGTAAAAGGTTTTTGCGAGGTAACCAGTCGGAACAAATTGACCGTCGGCAGAGCCATTTGATACCACCTTAGCAACTTTTCCTCAAACCGACCCAAATAACAACAGTTTAAAAGTATTAATTCCTACATCACGCATCACTACCGCCTTTCTTCAAAAACTTTACTGGAATTAAGTGAAGTCTGCAGCAAAACGTTCACTTCCTCAAAGACATTAGCATTAATAAACCGTTTCCACAGTGAGAAACGTTTAGAACTGGCCTTTTCTACGGCAATGCCAAGCAACAAGAAGAAACAAAAACTTTACGACTTACAGCTCCAATCAGTTCTCAAATTTTATTGTTGTACAGCTTTAAAAACTTACCGTTGTTGCTTCAAGAGTCAAATAGTTCAATAAACGATTTGCACGTTATACTGCTAATAAAAAAAAGTTTCTTCGCTTATTTCTTCGTTAAACTGCTTACCAAAAATAGCATTTCCTTGGCGAATAAGAACTGAAAGTGGCCTTATTCAGTGCAAATAATATTTTAAATTAAACATTTTAAAATTTTTTCAAACTGACCAAGAACGTCTGGTAATTAGCTAGTGACACATTTCAAATAACTGAGTAGTCCAGAAGAGTGCTTAGTGGTTAGCTGTTTGTCGGTGTCTTTTCTTACGCAATTCAACAAACAGACGGCAGCATGTTTGCCTCAATCATAACTGGCATTTGCTTTTCCTCCGTGTTCTTTGAAGTTCTTCGAAAAATTTACAACATATTTTTATTTTGGTACTATCACCGACGAAGAGCGGAGCGGACAGCGGTGTCTGTGCTGTTCATCTCTTCCAAAGAAAGCCAAGGAACTTTATAGAATAACAGACGGTTTCATCATGTAAAATACATGAAACTACTGTTAAAACGGCGGTTTTTTTCAGTTTCACATTCCTTACTTGTAATTCTTGATGCCAAAAAATCGCCATCATTAAATTCTGACGTGTTGTACAGCAAAAAGTTCTATACAAAATACGTTTTTATAAAAAACTAGAAGATGCGTTCTTTTTTGGAATGTTATTTCAACTATATCCATGTGATTTTTTTATCAGAATTAAAACATTCGATATTTATCTAAAAATTACAATGAGTTAAGGATACAATGAGTTAAGGACGTTAAACTATCAAAAACAGGCTAAATTTAGGGTTTTTTCGCTCTCTGTTTGCTGGCCCATGCTTTACTAGTTGGCAAATTTTGAAAAAATTTGCGATAGGAAGGGAGAAAAGCGTGCGATTTGGCATCGAATGGCCCATATATATATATATATATATATATATA